GAAGTCGTTCGTATGTTACTCCTTCAGGCCCCGAGTATATTTTGTTTGTTTACTTCTACTTATTTTAGAAAAATGGTGCTGACCAGAAGCGTCTCTAGGATTTAGGGCACATGGTGGGCCAGGGACAAAAGTAGGGGCTATATATATATATAAAATGCCAAAATACCAGAGTATTGCAGTATGCAATGATACCTTTTTTATTGTACTAACCAGGGAGGTGTCTACCGCGAGGCAAACAAGGCATTTGCCTTGGGCGGCAATTTCGGGGAATGCCCAGGCAAATACCTTGTTTGCCTTGTTTTATTGGAGCCCAAGATTTGGCTGGCTGGCCACCTTTGGGCTCCCCTGGGGCAGGTGGGCGGTTGTTTCCCAGGCGGGCGGGCAGCCACACTAAGCTGTCAGCGAGGGAGCACTTTCCCCTGAGCTCTCTGCTCAGCTCCCTCGCGCGACCCGCAGTGATGCTGGGAGCCGGAATATGGCATCATATTCCGGCTCACGGCATCACTCTGCAGCGCGTGACCAACCACTAACCCTACCCCAATCCCTAACCCTACCCCAACCCTTAACCCTACCCTTAACCCTACCCCTAAACCCTACCCCTTACCCTTCCTCTACCCCAACCACTAACCCTACCCTAAGATGCTTAGATGCTGGTAAGCTTTGACCAAGCCCAAAGGCCCTCTCTCTATGCTATAGAGCTTGGCTGGAGTTAGTGCCTAATAGACCCCTCATCTGCAGAAACCATTGGGGAGGGGACTGTGGCGGGGCATTGTCTAATGCGGGTTTGTTGCAGGCCATCAATGGGATAACCAAGTGGACAAAATGTTACTCACATGTGAAGGTCCATAGAAAATTGCTGTATAGGTGGTATATGACGCCACACAGGTTACGTAAAAACTTTCCTACTGTTCCCCCGGAGTGTTGGCGGTGCTCATCAGGGGAGGGGACTATGTTGCACATTTGGTGGTCATGTAGTGATATCCGCCAGCTGTGGCGAGACGTCCAAAGCCTTTTGGCGTCCTTGGGTGTTTCAGACTTCCCAATGACTGTCACCTCTTGTCTCCTTCTATTTTTCCCTTCGAACGTAGAATATGGCAACAGAAAACTAATGATATTATTGGTAGACAGTGGCCTCATTGCATTAAACTGGAAATACCATACTTGCCCATCTCTCTCACAACTTAAATATAAAGTCTACCAATTCTATGAAAGTATGTCTTCGGACTACACCCACACAATAATAACATTCAAGAAGACATGGGAGAGGTGGGACCAATTATACGGCCAAGGTGGGGGAGACAATGGGGTAATGTAGGCACCCAATATGAATCATTATCCACCACGATACACACTCTGCAGGGGGTTATGCCCCGGGACTCGTACTAGTGACCAGAATGCTCAGGAGGAATTATGTTGTCATGAAACAGAGTAACAAGATTAGTATAGCCAGAGAGAGTGTGTCAGGTTGCTTCAATAACGTGAGGGTTAACCCCTAATGGAATGGAAATATAGAAACAAGGAGGAAAAAGGAATCGGAGGTAGATAAAATATTGGTACGTCACAATCCAAACTTTTCAGGGCTAGGAAGCAACCCAAAAGTAAATAACTAATAAATAATAAAACATAACCTTTAATATATATAATATAATAAAAGTAGATATGTAGAGTATGCAACTCATAATAAATCTTAAAAAAGCTTGCAATGCCATCCAATAGTACGGAAGAGGAGAAAAAATAGAAACAAATTAATGAATCAAATGCAAACTAAAAAATAAAAGTAAAAAGAATAGAAACTAATAAATACAAAATGACCAAGATAGTCGAAGAAGGAAATTGCAGTATGCTGCTCTGGTAAAAAATAGAAAAGAACAAAAAAGAAATACTAACAACTAATGGAAACAAAAGTAGCTAAAGCTAGAGTAAATAAGTATCCTTAAGAGATAAACTCCTTGGGAATAGAGCACATCAAGGGGGAAAGTAAATCATGATCAGGGGAAGGGAAAACCAGTAGCTACAAATAGTTCCCTAATGTGCCTTCGAGAGCACCCCTTGAAAAATTCTAAACCCTACCCGTACCGCCCACAACCACATAGTTGACTAATAGAAAAAAATAAATAAAGGTATACTAAAACCATAGAGTGGTGGCTGTATCTATAAAGTCTTGTAAGCTGCACCATCAGCCCTAATTTCTCAACCACCGACTACACTAACTGTCCCGATGCGCGTTTCGTCAAACAATGACGCGCGTCGGGACAGTTAGTGTAGTGGGTGGCTGCACTTGCACTTTTGTACTTTTGTTAACTCTGATTTTTTTATTTTATTTATGCCTTGTGTATTTCTATGTTTCATCATATTGCCATGTGAAGGTATACAGTGCAGACTCTAGAGGTTCCTCTACTAGAGCTGATTTCTTAATTGTATGTAGTTCTCAGTTAGTTCTCGGATTGTATTATAATCATCACACTGTGTCGATGATTTTGTAAGCAGGCTCTCGTTTTACAGAGTTGTAACTGTGTACCGAGATTATACTGTGAAAACCTTCAATAAAATATAAATGGAAAAAAAATAAAAATAAAAGATAAACTACGTTTTATCCAAAGCCATTACATTATCTTTATGGCAGATGTTACATAGTTACATAGCTGAAAAGAGACTTGTGTCGATTAAGTTCAGCCTTCCTCACATTTGTTCCCCCTCTCCTGCAGTCATCATTACTGATGATCTCAGGGCAATCCAAAGTTATCTCCTGTTCTGTAAATTTAAATGTAGACAAATAGGAGAAAATCTGTCCTTATTTAACAGATTTTTTTCCTTTTTGTCTACATTCTTCAAACACAATTACCCTCTTTCTTCTGTCTTTAATGCTATATTCATTCAATCAAGCTTCCAACTCTTTCATTTATGTAAATGTAAATGTTTGATCACACAGGAGGCTCCTGTGGGATCAGACAGGCTATTAAAAGAGCATGAGATAAGAACTGCTAAATTAAACAGACTTTGCAATAAAGGAAGTTTATACATTAGATGACTCTTTTTACAGGAAGTGTTTAGGAAGGATATGCAAGTCGCATACATGGAGGTGTGACTAGGGCTGTATAAACAAAGTGATTTAACTTCTAAATGGCAAAGAATTGAGCAGCGAGAATGCAGGGAAGTGATCTATACACCAAAACCACTCAACTAAGCTAAAGTTCTTATGGTGCATGTAGTATCCCTTTAAATATGATTTTGATTTATAGAATGCCAATAAAAACCACAGTATTGAAATATTTAATAGTTAATTGATGTAACCAGAGTCCCTATATAATTAAATCAGCCCCACTCCATTGTTATATATATATAAGGCTTTTAGTGTCATTACTCTCTATGAAAAATAAAGGCCAATGATTAAAAGAGAAGCTGGTATGGGGAAAAAGAAAAGCCACAGTGTGGGGCAAGAGGGTCTTACCTGCTATCAAATACAGCATTTTGAGATTAACAAGAAGTCGGTCTATAATTATCTAACAGAGATATTCCTTTAATGACTCTAATTGGCCCTATCATCCATCAATTGCATACTTCACATTGGCATTAATTAAAAGGATAAAATCTGCTCACATCAGAGCATAACTATTATAAAATAGCACGTGGATGTCCAGGCCACTGAACAATGGTTCTGTAGTCAGTCTCTGTTAACCCCCTTAAATGTAAGATTTTATAGGATGTCTTAAATTTTACAGCGGTGGTTCTTAACCTTTAGTTCATAATCCAAAAAATGAGTCCTCAGTAATAAAAACATACTGATGATATTTATTACTGGTCTACAATAATAACTTGTTTTCTCTAGCAGATAATTTTTTTCCAGTGCTGTGAGGACCCTTTGGGGTGTGGGTTACTGAGATCATTTTCAAGTTGACTAGCGGGTTTACAGCAACTTACACCATGTAGATCAATCTACCAAAAAGGTAGTTCCCCAGATGTTTTAAAATTACAGCTTGCGTGATGCTTTGTCATTCTAAAGGCGTGCACTGCATCATGGTAGTTGTAGTTCTACAACAACTGGGGATCTACCTTTTGGACACCCCTGATGTAGATAATGTGTCTGTGACAAAAAAGAAAAAGTAAATTAGAGCTATACAAGCAGAAATGGTGTGAGAGAAAACTGATAGTTATATAAATAAAGTAAAGGATTACTCCAAGCACCATTACCTCTATAACCTGTTCTAAAATGGCTAGACATGTGCAATTCGTTTCGGTCCGAATGTGAATTCGGACGAATTTCGGGCAATTCGGACATTCGGGTACTTCAGAGTGTCTGAATAGATATATTGCCGAATGGTTGAAGTCCCGAAATTACAGAATTTCCAAAGTGCCGAAGTTCCGAAGTTGCCGAAGTTCCGAAGTGCCGAAGCACAGTATTGCCTAATGTAGTGGAACCCCTTTTTGGCTGTCCTATTCCTTTTATTAATTGTTGGCCCTGCAGAGATTTTCCTGTGCCTGGAGTACAGAAACCTCTAAGTAACTAGGTATGGACCTACTTTGTTCGGTATGGGAAAAACAGCTGACATGTGAACAACTAAAATTCACCATACGAACAAAGTACCGAATGAACCGGACCACCCTGATGTGTATAGTGGATGTAATTTACCTCCCTGCTTGCATTTTCATTCCCTTGTACGCACGAACCCGCCGCCATTTCGGCAGCTGAACACGTGGCGGCCGCCATCTTAAATCCCTTAGTATTAGTAAATTATGCCCCTACTCGCTATACCGCCTATGGCTGCTCACTTTAAAAAAAAAAGTCCCCCCCCTCCCGAGCCCCCACCCGTGCTGTGTGAGTGGGGGCTTCTAACCTGAAGGACCAATTGCCTACCTCCGTCCCCCACCCCTGAACGGCGGGTGGGGGCCCTTCAGGGGTCGGGGCCAGGGGGGAGGACATTAGGTCCCCCCCTTATTAGTATTTAGGGCCCCCACCCACCGCTCATGCCTAAAAATGGTGTGACAAAATTATCCTCAGAGAGCGATTGGACAGTCCTGGCACCATAACCATTACAGCAATCTGTAGTGGTGATGGTGCTTGGATTGTTCCTGTAAGACAATAACTTGGAAGAAGACAGAATGATGGAGGTTGGAATCTGCCACAACTATATTCAAGATCAGGTATGTAGTAAGGTGCAATGAAAGTGCGGTTCTCTAGAAAAAAGCATCATCTCTAGTCAAACACCTTCAAATCTACCTAAAATCGAAGTGTTCCTCTCTGTCCATTTGATGTTCTGGGAGGTAGGTACAAGACAATAAACAGTCTAAAGCTGAAAAAACGAGGGCAGTGCTTCTTGGGATGCAAACTTGTGCACAAAGTGCTATACAACTGTTTTATTGAAGGGCATAGAGAAAATGTAAACATTTCGGGTGTTACCCCTTTTTCAATGGAAGTGCCCTTCAATAAAAAAAAATTGTGTGTACTTTGGATTTATTATTTATCCTCCTGCATAAGCAACAGGAGGTTAAGTTGACAGCAGCACTGAAGAATTCTTACAATTATATTTTTCTGTTCTACAAGAGAAGACTAGGCACACATGTCTAGGTATGTGTTAATACAACTAAATAGATAGTTGTCCTGGCATGGTGAAGGATAACTGTGTTAGGCTTAATTAACATAAAGGAAGATATGTCAGCAGTGGGTATGAGAATACATGAGGTAGACAGCTTGAATTACCTGACATAATGCCTAACTATTTTACCACTAGGTGTGTAGCTTACTGAGTAAGGAAAGGTCTGCAGACCCGCATGAAAAACATTAAGAATGTTAAACATCGGCGAGTCCCATCTACGAATTAAACCTTCAGGTTAGCTATACCACAGACGTTATAATGGCCACTATCCGCCTAGACGACACTCCTAGGCTATATGCAACCACTATGATGACAAGTGAATTTTGCCCATGTACTACACAATCACTACCTGACTCACCCAGTGATGACACACTCACCCCTTAATGTACGACCATAAGATGAAGATGTTTGCATATTTACTACATGTAACATAATGAAGATACCGACACTGATACTGTACTACCTTCTAATTATTAATATTGTTTCGGTTTTCATTCCTTCTAATCATATGACTGCTCCCGATTTTGCGAGACCTGCGTGTCTCCTATTTTGCTATCCTATCGCACTGTTGTACATTTTCGATGACACAAATAAAAGCCGTTTAACTTAAAAGAATGTTAAACATGTTAAACACAAAAAAACTTTTGTGGTGTAGCGCTATATTAAAATAGAAGGGTAGTGATAAAAACTAGGTATATATCGATACTACCTTGAAATTCCTTATGTCTTTATATTCACATAAGAGTATAAATTCTACAAGACATAAAAAACAGACAGACCAAACATAGTGCAAACTGTATAATAAAGTCCGTTATAGAGAATAAGGAAGGGAAAATTTCCCACTCACAATTTTAGGAGCTAATATGAAATAGCTCAATATCTGCGCTCTTGGGGTCCGTAAAGGCGACCCTCACCCTTCTTGTGTATAGATCTCCTTGGTTTCCTATAGAAGTAGAAACCGTATATGGTGCAGTATCGTAATAATTATCAATGTGAGATAAATATAAAATGTAATACTCACAAAATTAGAGCCATCCAGATCGGCTCTAATCCACACACTTGTGTAGTTGAGGACTACACACCTTCTTTGTGAAAAATGAATAAGAAGTAGCAGGGAAATGCCAATATATAGTATAAAATGTAAATAATTTTATTATAACGGTAATTGTATAAAAATATATATATATATATATAAAAAACAATAAAAAACAATATCAAATTGGCATAAAATCCAAAAGTCCAAAGTCTCACAGTCTCTCCAGTACGCGTTTCGCCCTACAGGCTTCCTCAGCTGGATGTGGTGATTCAAACTTCCCATGGATTCTCCCTGCTATATGTACCCCTCTCAGGGGTGAGATAATTAGTGTCCAGGCTTGTATTTTCGCGGGCAATCACCATAGAAACGGTGACGCCCTGCGTTTCAAGCCTTTTTTCTATTCATTTCCGGGTTTTTCTGTTCCGTTGCGTCACTTCCGGTTTCGCCGATACGTCACTTCCTTGCGTTCCACCATGCGGTTCACTGTGCGTTCCACCATGCGGTTCACCATTTATTTCCCCAGGATTTCCGGGTCGGCGGTTTTTGAAGGGAAATATAAGTTCAAATGAATTTAACATATCTGTGGAATTGGCAAGCTTTCTTTGTCTAACATATACAAGCCTTATATTGGTACATCCATACCCTTAATAATTCAATTTCATTCTGTAGTGTTTTTTTTCTCCCTCTATTCCTATTTCTTGTATAAGTGTATTTTACAGGCATATTGTGATCTTATGTCATTATTAAAAAGATGAATTCTTAAGAGATAATGGGTATTAATAAATGAATCAGTAGTTATACAAAAACACCTTATAAATGTCTAATTCTAGATATTATAAAAGTTGGAACATAATTCAGTCAATGCTCACATAGTAAAAAAAGTGATAAAGCAATAAAGGGAGGTATGCTTGCAACCATAAAAAAAAAAATAAAAAAATTTGCATTTATTTTAAAAAATGGCACATCTCAAAGTCCGCATTTAGACCATTCGGGATTAAAGTATTTAATTTAAAAATCCACTCCATCTCTATTTTACTCATTTTGCTATCAAAGTTGCCTCCCCTCCAATCCTTTTTGACTTTTATAATTCCTAAAAACGTAGTGTCTTTCATGTCGCATTTATGTGCAATTTTGTAGTGTAAAGAGACGCTATGTTTTTCAAAACCTTTTAAAATATTACGACTATGTTCTTCAATTCTGATATGTAGGGGTCTGGTGGTTTTCCCTATATAACATAGACCACAAGGGCAGATCATTAAGTAAATGAGGTTTTTTGAGTGGCAACTCAGAAAATCTTTAATTTGATATTCTTTACCATCTTTATCTTTAAAAAGCTTTATATGTCTTTTTTTATTATTTGACCTTTTGCACGCTAAGCATTGGCCACACCCAAAAAATCCCTTATCCGAATTTAAAAAAGTATTCGTACTTTTCTTTTCCTTTAAAAAGCTTGAAGTCAGAGAATGGCGTAAATTGTCAACCCCTCTGTGTATAAATTTAGGTCTTTCTGGAAGAAAAGGTTTTACACCAGGATCTTGTAATAAAATTGGCCAGAACTTAGAGATTATTTTTCTTACTTTTTTGTTATCTGTGCTGAAATTGCATATAAAAGGGAGTTCCATAAATGTATTTTCCCTTTTATCCTTATATTTCAAAAGTTTCTCTCTTTCTATCATTCTTACTTCTTTCCTGGCCATTTCTAATTTTAACTCTTCATATCCTTTCTCTATAAAATCTTCTTTAATTTTAATAGATTGGGTCTCAAATACAGTTGGATCCGTACAGTTACGCCTAATACGTAGAAACTGTCCTCTGGGGGCATTCTCAAGCCACGGAGAGTAGTGGCAACTTTCTCTCTCTATGTAGCTATTAGCTTCTACCGTCTTAAAATAGTTTCTAGTTTTAATCTTGTTTTCTTCAATATATATCACTAGATCTAAGAAAATTATTTCCGTCTTGCTCCAATTGCTACTGAGCGTTATGCCCCAGGTATTCTCATTTAAAAAATTTAAAAATTCAATAAGATCTTTTTCTTCTCCTTTCCATACAAAGAAAATATCGTCAATGTAACGACCATAGGTAACCAAGCTTTCTCCCCAGCCATGAGTGCCATAAATAAACGTATTCTCCCAATGGGCCATGAATAAATTGGCATAGCTGGGGGCAAACTTGGTTCCCATGGCCGTCCCATTAATCTGGAGGTAGAAGTCCTCTCCATACCAAAAATAATTGTTATTTAAAATTAACTCAATCCCTTCTAAGATGTATTTAGTTTTGCTATCTGTAAAATCTGGACTTTCACCAAAAATAATTGTTATTTAAAATTAACTCAATCCCTTCTAAGATGTATTTAGTTTTGCTATCTGTAAAATCTGGACTTTCACTTAAAAGTGAAAGTCCAGATTTTACAGATAGCAAAACTAAATACATCTTAGAAGGGATTGAGTTAATTTTAAATAACAATTATTTTTGGTATGGAGAGGACTTCTACCTCCAGATTAATGGGACGGCCATGGGAACCAAGTTTGCCCCCAGCTATGCCAATTTATTCATGGCCCATTGGGAGAATACGTTTATTTATGGCACTCATGGCTGGGGAGAAAGCTTGGTTACCTATGGTCGTTACATTGACGATATTTTCTTTGTATGGAAAGGAGAAGAAAAAGATCTTATTGAATTTTTAAATTTTTTAAATGAGAATACCTGGGGCATAACGCTCAGTAGCAATTGGAGCAAGACGGAAATAATTTTCTTAGATCTAGTGATATATATTGAAGAAAACAAGATTAAAACTAGAAACTATTTTAAGACGGTAGAAGCTAATAGCTACATAGAGAGAGAAAGTTGCCACTACTCTCCGTGGCTTGAGAATGCCCCCAGAGGACAGTTTCTACGTATTAGGCGTAACTGTACGGATCCAACTGTATTTGAGACCCAATCTATTAAAATTAAAGAAGATTTTATAGAGAAAGGATATGAAGAGTTAAAATTAGAAATGGCCAGGAAAGAAGTAAGAATGATAGAAAGAGAGAAACTTTTGAAATATAAGGATAAAAGGGAAAATACATTTATGGAACTCCCTTTTATATGCAATTTCAGCACAGATAACAAAAAAGTAAGAAAAATAATCTCTAAGTTCTGGCCAATTTTATTACAAGATCCTGGTGTAAAACCTTTTCTTCCAGAAAGACCTAAATTTATACACAGAGGGGTTGACAATTTACGCCATTCTCTGACTTCAAGCTTTTTAAAGGAAAAGAAAAGTACGAATACTTTTTTAAATTCGGATAAGGGATTTTTTGGGTGTGGCCAATGCTTAGCGTGCAAAAGGTCAAATAATAAAAAAAGACATATAAAGCTTTTTAAAGATAAAGATGGTAAAGAATATCAAATTAAAGATTTTCTGAGTTGCCACTCAAAAAACCTCATTTACTTAATGATCTGC